AATGTTGCTGACAAAATGTTGAGTTAAATTATTCATAATTTAAGAGTTAAACACATCCCCATCTTATTAGCTTTTAGCCTATTGCTTGTTTTTGCATGCATCTGTTATTGCATAGCATCTTAATTTATTCCACCAGTTAATGGACAACTGCACTAAATCAAATGTAAACATTCAGTGGCGCGGTGGTGGCTAAAAAGATTTGTTTACCAAAATGTGGGCTGGCAGACTGGACTTGTTTGAGAAGTCTGAAATGAGTCAAGCATAAAATTTGACCACTAAAACATTTTTATTTTTCTGTTCAGAAATGCAAGTAAATAACTGTCATTTGGGTTCCTTATTGAAACACACAACTATATTGACTATTTACTAAGTCAATATGAGGATTCGTGAATGACAATCATTGTATTGGGGGGAGGGATCAAACTAAGAGCAGCATACACAAAAGCACCCAACATTCTTAAAACCAATTACAAAGTCAGCTTATATATGCCCTGGAGTGCATCCATTGGCTACAGGACTCAGAACTCAGCCAATAGGATCAGATGGTGTGAAGGGCGGAACTAAGAGGTCGGGACCTGTCACTCAGCCAATAACTGAGTTTTATTTATGCTAGCGCTAGCAGATTTTTATTTGTTGTGACATCTTTGAGTTTTTCATTTGTTTTGTAAACCACTAACAATGATAAATTGCTTGCTTTTCTTTTTGTCATGTGCCCTGTATATGTGTTGTCTCCTCCACCACCTCACCTTTTAATCCCGAGCCTTAGAAGTTAAAAAAGAACAATATCGCTAACATTAGATTTACTAGTTGGAGTAAAACATCTGAAATTGTTGTTTTGTTTTTAATATAAAGATATTTGGCATAGATTTACATTGAAAGGTTAAGCATGCTAGCTCTCCTCACAGCACCTACAGGTGGTGTTAATGCTGTAAAATCTCCAGTGAAAGCCGTGATTTCTTCCTAGAATATATTCTTTCCAGCTGCTTTGGAAATACACTGCTGATAAGAGATTTGTTGGCTTTATTATTTAACTGTCCTACGTCACCAACTGTCACTCATGAAACAAAACTACAATTTATTTAGTTACATTTGCTGAGTGTTGGGCAGCAGCTTTGGTGACATGCAGCAGGATGCAGCCAGCAGGTGGCAGCATATAGATACACTTGTAACCCCAATTCATCCATACGTTTGTTAACTGCATATCCAGCATAGGGTTGCTGGTGCCCTCGTAGCCCCACAACCTGTTTAAAATAAAGGTAATCTCGCTGTATATATAATTTCTTTTTTTAAAATACCAATTAATACTGAAACACAAATTTAAGTAATTTATTAGCACAGATCTTATCAGGGTCATCTGTATATACCTACACTATGAAATTTACCATGCTTTTTTTTTTTTTTTTTTTTTAATGTCACACAAAAAAAACAATGAAATAAAAAAAACAGGATTTAAATTACATTTAATAGCAGCAAAGAAAGACTTGGCAAATACATAACATAATTAAACTATAACGTGCATAAGAAGTCATCTCATTCGAAATATGAAGAGAAACCCAGTAAAGTACAGTGCTCATTGTTTTGTATCAGCAGACAGGAGAGATAAATGCATAGTTTTTGAACTTTGTAAATAGTTATGTTGTCTTTCCTGCACTGTTATCAGTTTCCATCTCTGCTGCTCAGTTACATCTCATACAAGCACACCAGAAAAGAGTGTAGTATCACAGTAAAGACTTCGATATGGCTGTGTATATGGATAACTGTTATGAACATGCCCAGTGACTACTATGCAGCAGTTTTTTGGTTGTCCTTCTGTTCAGGAGTTTACTGTATTAGCAGCTGTCAGGAGTGATGAGAACAGAGAGTCTGGCCGTTGCTTCAGCACATCTGGATGGTCTAATTCTGCCACCTGTCAAACAGAACACTTAGTGAGTTTAAGTTAAAGATTGTGTAATCATCTTTGATTTGTGTTCATTTGTGGGGTTTTTTTGTTTTTTTTTGGGGGGGGGGAGGGTTTGGGTACCTGTCCATTGTCCATGACCAGAATACGATCTGCATGCATAACAGTGTTGATGCGATGCGCTATGGTGAGCATGGTGCAGTCTTTAAAGGCCTCTTTGATGGTGTTTTGAATGAGAGCATCTGTTTCTGAATCGATGGATGCTGTGGCTTCGTCTAAAAGAATAATCTGCCAAAAAATAACCAGCGTAATGGTGGTTAGAAAGAAGAAAACGGTGGATGGCAAAAGTGTCATAAAATACAAAAATGTTTACAGTGCTTATGTTATTATACACTTTGATATTAATATTAATGGAAATATTGGTAGAGTCATCACAAGCTAATGTGGCAGCAGTATCCCAGCCAATAAACTGTATTTGCAAATTAAATTTATTATCATCAAGAAGGTGTTATGTGTGTACACACCTTGGAGTTACGGAGTAGAGCCCTAGCCATACACATCAGTTGTCTCTCACCAACAGAGAAGTTCTCTCCATTTTCCAACACTGGTGCCTGTAGCCTTTCTTCCAGCTTGGAGATCTGATGGAACAAAATCATATTTTGGTACTGCCATTCATACCCCTCAGGCTAACAGAAAGAGGATATTCGCAGCAAAAAAACCCACAAAATAAACTACAAAGTCGTATAATCCTTGCCTAAGGCAAGGCAATCAAAAGTTTGAACTCTTGTATGGAAAGACTATCTGCAGTTAGACAGGAGCAGCATAAAGATTCTGGGACGGTGCCTCGGGCTGGAGAGCCAGTGAGATTGGCTTGCAACCCCCATGCTAGTCTTGGATTAAGGACTACTACAGTTCATTTTTGCCAGAGAGGAATTCCTGAGCAGAGATGGGCAGTAACGCGTTACTTGGTAATTAGATTACCGTTACTTTCCCGTAGAAACGCTGCGTTATCTTGTTACTAAACCCGTGATTTTTTTTTTTTTTTTTTTTTTTTTTTTTTTTGGGCGAGAATGTCTCATGACAGTGACGTAAGCGAGTGCGACGTTCGTGACAACAGCTGTGTGCAGATCAACAATGGATCATATATCGAGTGCGGGAGAGAGTATGAGCGTGCAGCGTTTAAAGCGTGGAAGTACTGACCTTACTTTGAGTTTGATTCCATAAAAAGTGACAAAAACATTAGTGTCCGTTGTGCGTGGGAAGAAAACTTCTTTTTACAGCGAAAAAAACCCCTAAACTTCCAAGCAAGCACCGAGTGCGCTACGACGTAATGGGAAATTCACAGAGAAACTCGCGGATTCTTCAACTGACCGTGCGGCACACCTGCACCAGGGCAAACCTCCGCCTACCCCACTCCTGCTTTACAGGTGAAAATAGAGCACAAGGACCGCTAGTCTTTGATTTTATTTATTTTCTGCTGTGTTTTACTTGCATCTATTTGAAAGAGTCGAGTGTTGTGGGAGGTGTTGCGGGAGTATGGGGTGTCTGGCCCATTGCTACGGGCCATTCGATCCCTATACAACCGTTGCAAGAGCTTGGTTCGCATTGCCGGCAATAAGTCGGACTCGTTCCCGGTGGGTGATGGGCTCCGCCAGGGCTGCCCTTTGTCTCCGGTTCTGTTCATAATTTTTATGGACAGGATTTCTAGGCGCAGCCAAGTGGCGGAGGGCTTTCGCTTTGGTGGCCTCAGAATCTCATCTCTGATTTTTGCGGATGATGTGGTTCTGTTGGCTTCATCGGGTGAGGGCCTCCAGCTCGCACTGGAACGGTTCGCAGCCGAGTGTGAAGCAGCGGGAATGAGGATCAGCACCTCCAAATCTGAGGCCATGGTTCTCAGCCGGAAAAGGGTGGAGTGCCCACTCCGGGTCGGGGATGAGTTCCTGCCCCAAGTGGAGGAGTTCAAGTATCTCGGGGTCTTGTTCGCGAGTGATGGGAGAAGGGAGCCGGAGATCGACAGACGGATTGGGGCTGCGGCTGCAGTAATGCGGACGCTGCACCGGTCGTCGTGGTGAAGAGGGAGCTGAGTGTAAAAGCGAAGCTCTCAATTTACCGGTCGATCTACGTCCCTACCCTCACCTATGGCCACGAGCTGTGGGTAGTGACCGAAAGAACGAGATCGCGGATACAAGCGGCGGAAATGAGCTTCCTCCGAAGGGTGGCTGGCCTCTCCCTTAGAGATAGGGTGAGAAGTTCGGCCATCCGGGAGGGGCTCAGAGTAGAGCAGCTGCTGCTCCACATCGAAAGGAGCCAGCTGAGGTGGTTCGGGCATCTGCAAGGATGCCCCCTGGGCGCCTCCTGGGGAGGTGTTCCAGGCATGTCCCACCGGGAGGAGGCCCCGGGGCAGACCCAGGACACGCTGGAGAGATTATATCTCTCGGCTGGCCTGGGAACGCCTTGGTATTCCCCCGGACAAGCTGGAGGAGGTGGCTGGGGAGAGGGAGGTCTGGACCTCTTTGCTTAGGCTGCTACCCCCGCGACCCGACCTCGGATAAGCGGATGAAGATGGATGGATGGATGGATGGATGGAGTGTAAACACAAAAAAATATTTTATTTTATGTGCTGGAATGTGCAGAAAATAGGTTTAAATGTTAAACTAATTTCTTCCAGTCAGAGAATGTTGCATATAATTAAATTTTTGCTTGATGCATAAAGTTAAAAGATTAAAACTAATAAAACAAGTTTTAAAAAGAGACTTTTCCATTTGATTACATTTTGTATGATGGATTATGCAGAAAAAGTAGAATTGGGCTGAAAGATCTATGCTTTATCACCTATTCAGGTTGTAAATCGTGTTTTTAAAAAGTAGCTAAGTAATTAATTACTTTTGAAAATAAATAATCAGTAAAGTAACGGGATTACTTTTTGGGGAAGTAATCAGTAATTAGTTACTGATTACTTATTTCAAGTAACTTGACCAACACTGTTACTGAGTGTATTCTGTGATAAAAATTTAGACATGCCAGAACCTTATCAAACTTGTTGTAATAAAAATCTTTAGGGTTTATTACTTCCAGGTTCACGGCATGAGAGCAACATTAGTCAGCATTAGTGGTGCCATTAATAACTGCTAGAGAGTTGTTTTCCTCTGCGGAAAAACGTGTGCCTGGACAGATGGTACTATAATTGTACACAGAGGAAGGTGAACTAAATGTAGGGCACTGGAGGAAAAAGTCCAAATTCCAAATTTTCAATGCAAAGATAAAGTAAATATGCAGAGCTCGTCAGAGAGTAAACAATACTGGCCAGTGGCAGAAAAATTGTTAAAAATCTAATAACTGATAGCTAATTAAAGGAAACAAAGAACAGAAGTAAAACTAAATAAACAACATGAACATAGGATGTGTCAAAAAAATGAACATAAAACATATGTTTGGCTCTAGGGCTATTCCATTTTCTTTTAGGGCTGTATCAGACGTGTCACAGAGACTGCAGTCTTACGCGTTGTGGGTTTTAGTTTTTGTCAAAGCAAAATCTTGGATAAAAGCAAGTGGCAAAACAAACAATAAGACTATACAATACTGATAACATACTGAGTCCTTTATATAGGTCTTCTCCAGTGCTGCCCAAATCTCCTCATCAGTGTAGTTATTAAACGGGTCTAGGTTGTACCTGTAGGAAAAACAGCTCTTTATCTAGTGACTGACATGCAGGAGTAAAATCAGTGTGTGATTCTGTACTTCTGGTTCACTACCTTACTGTACCGATGAACAGCACAGGGTCCTGAGGGATGATGGACAACTTGCTGCGCAAATCCTGCAGGCCAATGGACATAATATCAACTCCGTCTATCTTTATGGTTCCTGCTGCAGGCTCTACTAGTCTGAATAGAGCTACTCCTAAAGAGGATTTCCCTACAGACACAAAGCACAGAGCAGAGTAGCTGAATATTACACTATAGCTGTTGAGAAGAGCTGATTAAAATTGTAATCTGCACTATGGAATAATTAGGAATTCACTGCTATAATAATTACAACCCTGTTTCCCAAAAAAAGGAAACTGTGCAAAATGCAAATAAAGACAGATTTAATTTAAAACATGAATGTTTAAAGTTATACATTTTAATGGATAGAAAACAAATAAGGAGACCATCACTAAATTGAATCAGAAACATTTTTTTTTTCTGAGTCCAGTTTCAACCAAGGTCAGTAAGCACTTTGTTAGTGCGTCCACTGTTAAAGATCAAACTCCTACAGTGCTAAACTACAACAGCATGGCGACTCACTCAAAGAACCATGGGTCTAAACTGGTCTTCCTACAGTCCAGATTTGTCACCTATTAGCAAGTTACAAAACAGGAAATATGACAGAGACGGCTTCAAACTCAATTATTTAAATATTTCTAATTAACATATATATATATATATATATTTTTTTTTTTTCAAAAATCCCACTGAATAAAAATTAAGAAAATGTAATAGCTCTTAAATTCGGGGCCTTACCAGAGCCAGTCCTTCCCACGATCCCCAGCTTCTCTCCAGGTTGAATGTGGAAATCAAGGCCGTTTAGGATGATTGGTGTATTCTCTCTGTACCTCATCTTATAGTCTTTGAAGGAGACGCCCCCATTGCTAGGCCAGTCCTGTGGGATCTGAGCCTCTTTAACATGCCTGGGGGCCTCAGATTTACAATCCTGCAAATAAAAAAGTTTCTTTTTTGAGTGAGGCAAACAGAGGGAATTTGGGGTTTGGTCTTGGCAAAACCATGAAAGATGGATCGTTTGCGGAGAGAAATCTGACCATGATGTATTCCTGCAGTCGCTCCACTGAGTTGAACCTTGCTTCCACTTCCGTTGACAGTCTTACTACATATTGAAGCATGCCTGTCAACTGGACAACACACAAAAGTTCTAACAAAACACAAACACACATTTCAACATGACTTAGACGTATAACTCTGCTCTCCTTATTTACCTGTATGGTATAGGTTATGGCCAGGCCTTTCAAGGATGGAGCGATAAAGTCATTACTGCTAAGCACTACAAACAGAGACACCAACAAGGTCATAATAGCAGCCATGAAGTCCAGCCAGAAAGAAAGCCACCGGGTGCCAGAATGAAACAATAAAAAGTGATTGGAGTTGATGTCATTCAGGGACTTGAACCTACAATATGACACAACGACGTGATGAGAGTTGAGAGCACCGATCAAAGACCACATCATTTACAGATATTTACAGAAGAACACATTATTTACTATTACGACCAGTAATAGAGAGACTTTTATTTGTTTCTGTGAAAGAGTTCTGGTGTCTTACATTTCTATGTGACTGTTTCTTGTGTTGTAAGCATGGATGGTGCTGAGGCCCTGCAGTGTAGAAGTCGTTAGTGAGATACAGGGAGAACGGCTGATATTTTCCATCTTCTTCATAAGACGAATACCCCTTTGGAATAGGCTGCAGATAAATTCAAACAAATGTTGAGCAAACTGTACCTTAAACAACTATCTGCTCTCGCACTAAGACAATTTTTAAAACTTAACTCACAACAGAATGAGGGTAAACAAAGCTCCCATGATGACTACAGCCACAAGCATGTATGGAAAAACGGATGCGATGATGATAATTGTGAATGTGACGAGAAGACAATACTGCAGGAAAGAATCCATGACAAGAGGAAGCACAGTGTCCACCTCCTCTTGATCTTTAGAGAAACGGTTTAGAATTCGGCCTGTTGGAGTTGTGTCAAAGAAACTCATTGGACTGCCAAAAATCTGTGAGAGGAAAATACAAACAACAAAAATAATCATTCTTTGAATCATTGAGCAGTTAATCTGTGTTTCAATTGGTCATGTTTGATGGTAAACACTGGGGATTATTTCTTGGTACCTTCTTGAACATTGTGTTGTGGAGTTTGCAGGAGGCCCTCAAGGTGACGTAAGTATAAAAGAAGCATTTGATGAGGGCAAGTACCACCATGATGAGCATCATCACACCATAAATCGTTTGGTAATAGTGCAGGTCTGGATTTTTTGAGATGTCACCTGGATCTGAACCTGGGTTAGTCGATGACTTCGATAAAACAGACAAAATATCTTTTGTTAGTGGAGAGAGAGTGGACTTGGCGTGTCTATCGTTTCAGTGGGTCTTTCTTGAACTGTCATCTTGAGTGACAAGACACAGCTAGAGAGCAGTTTTCTAATACAGCAGTGCATGGAAACTAATTTCTTTCCAGATCCAGAATTTGCTAAATAAAGAACATAACACTTCAGCATGCAAAAGTACTGTTAAAGAACAATTTTTAGCAGTAATGGTGTTGGAGCATGGTTAGGGTTAGGCTCAAGCTAAACAAGTGTAATGAGTAGACTAAGATGTGCCAGTATTCTGTGTACTGATAGGCTGGAATAATACGAGAGTGTACCACTAAGAAATGTGCTAGCTGGAATATTATGTTCTTCATCACATTGGTTCTGCCCAGACCATTCAGTTAGCACTCTGTTCTTTACAGGTATGCTGGACCCTGTAAAAGATTCACACTGCAGCAGTATAATGAGCACATCCAATAATCTGATCTTAATAAGAACTGCTCAAGGCCAAAGAGCACTAACTCTCACAGACCTCACTTGACCACCACCTGAACTCATCACTAGTAAGTATTTGTGGGTTACTTAAAAGCTGAGATAGCCTGGAAAAAGCCAAAAATTCAAGTTTTGACCTTAAGTCCATTGTAACCCTCTAATTTTAAAGAGACTGGCTAACACGGGCAATCTTACTTGAAACAATGTACCTTCTGGTGCTTGTAATCATCTTTATTGGATTCACTTGTGTTAGGCTACACAGTGACTGAGAGCTCATAGTCATTTCACCCAAGCTGTTTATGCATGATGAGATTATTTTTGTGTGAATGCTAGAGAGAGAGGATTCTCACCCCATTACCCTTTCCAAGCCAGAAGCTGAGCCACCAGTTGCTGAAGGCTGTGGATCCAATCATCAGGACAATGTTCAGGACAGTGAGAAAGACGAGAATGTAGCCTGTAGCAAAGAGTTGCAGCACAACTGTTAAGTACATATTGGTACATTATTGCTTAAAATCATGTAAATGCATGTGTGTGTTGTATCAGACCTCCAGCTGCTTGACAGTACCGGTGGTAGGTTCTTAAGGAGACAGCACCCTCTGTGGAGGACTCTTGATGGACCAGCTGGTCATCAGACTTGACAGGAGCTTAAAACAGGGAAAATATTTTAATAGAGTCGTAACAGGATTAGTGACTTCCATTTGCATTGACATGCATCACATGTGCATTTCCATTATAAAAAATATTTAAAAAATCTAAAGTATTGCTTGGTGTAGAAAAGGGGATCACATAACAACTAAATATGTAATAGTGAAACAGCTGACAAACGGTGGGATGACACTCAGAATTAAGTGAACTTTAAAGACTTACGCTTTTGCTCAGCTGTTGTTTCATGATCCTTTTCATCTGACATGTCAAATGCTGAAAGGAAGAATAGAAGTAATTTTATCATTCTACTAATCACAAAAATTGACTTAAATTATCATTGTCCACATATTGTAAGACATAACTGCAAAGAGTTGAACCACAGACCCCTACAGCAAGGAAATCTGGAAACTGATCACTTATATACATTGTATCCATAGAGGGAAGAGTCACTTTAAATAATAATAATGGATTGGATTTATAAAGCGCTTTACAATGCCACTATTCATTCACTCTCGCATTCACACACTGGTGGAGGCAAGCTACAGTTGTAGCCACAGCTGCCCTGGGGCAGACTGACAGAAGCGAGGCTGCCATATCGCACCATCGGCCCTCTGGACCAACACCATAGTAGGGTAAAGTGTCTTGCCCAAGGACACAACGACCAGGACAGAGAGCCCGGGGATCGAACCGGCGACCTTCCGGTTACAGATGGGCCAATGAAGATGGGCCAATGATGCATATAAATATGATAGCAATTTTATGTAATGACCTTCACAGGTCATGTTTTTGGTATGAAGTCACAAGGACTTATAATATGGGTATATAGCAAAAACAGCCAGGTCAACAAGTTTGCTGCCCTGTCTGTTATTACTTTACAAGGCCTTGTTTTTGCTTTACAAAACTTTGACCTGTCCCTGGTTATACAGTTGCTCTTTAACAATCAAAAGTACTGATGTGTCAACACTGCACGTGCATTGGCACAGCAACATTTAGAAAGTGTGAGCGTCATCCCCCTGAACACTGGTCTCTGGACAGTGAAAAAACAAAAATCCCACCGTATTCAAAAAAGCACCACTACTAAAACATGTAAAGTCTGTCATGAATTCAAAAACACCCAAAAAGTTCAAATTATTAAAATGATTTTCTCCCTAGTTTTTTTTTTTTTTACCAGGGTTTGCCATCCCACTGTCTGCACGATATCTGAGCTCAACCTCTTTCAACTCAGGGGCATCTTGGGATGATAAATCCTCCTCTTCCTCTCCCTCCTCATTCTGAGTCTGACAAGCAAGAATATCAGGAACACAGCATTACAGCACAGCCCGTACAAACGTATAACCACAAATGGAATGATTTGTACCTTGTTTTACAACTGATCATTAAGTTTATTGTTTTTGACATAATAAAACAATCAAGAACAGGTGAGGTGGTTTGCAGGAACATAATAAGAATCAACGATAAAAATAGAAGAGGTACAAGATGCATGCTTTTAATTTAGGGTATACTTACTTTGGACTGTTCCATCTGGTAATTGGTGATGAGCTGAGCATAGCGTCCGCTGGCGTTCATCAAGGTTTGGTGGTTTCCGGCCTCCCTGATCTCCCCGTCATCCAGAACCAGGATGTCATCACAGAACTCCAAATACTAGCAAGCATAAGTGAGAACAATTGTGGCAACAAAATCTACAGTGTCGTCAGACCTGTTCAAAACTATAATCACATGTATGTACACATTTATGTCATTTGACAGATGTTCTTATCTCCAGTAGCGTGACTTACGAAATGGCTTAGAACTCACGGGTAAGAGCACCAGTCAAATACTCTTCCTCAGATTAGTGACTTATGATTAGTAGGTAAACTATTAGCCAAGAATGCCTTCTAGGTTTTTTCAGATTTGACTGAATTTGTCCAAAATGTCATATTTAAAAACACAATTTTAGACAATATGCATATTAATTTCATGAATATGCATATTCATATTCATGAAATCTGATTTCCAGATTTCAGAGTCTCAGACCAAGCTATGATCCATCAAGTAACCTGGTTAATTTTTCACTTTGGTTTTTATACAGATTAACAAAGTGGAATATAGTGATTTTTATAAAACATTAACGGATGTTTTTTCTATTCTTCCTGTCATGGTAAGACATGGCCTCTGACTGTAAAATTACAATATATATGGACAGGAAAGTCTTCTTTTAACTACTTACATCAGTTGTTCTTGTCATTTAGTGTTATTCTTTAGTGAAAGCACTAAAGAATGAAACCGTGTTCTTACCTGGAGCTGGTGTGTAACCAGTATGACAGATTTTCCTTGGAGTTCCTTCTTTATGCATTCTTCAAAAATATGTTTCCCCACATGAGCGTCAACAGCAGATAAAGGATCGTCAAGGAGGAAGATGTCCTTGTTGGAGTAGACTGCTCTGGCCAGGCTGATCCTCTGCTTCTGTCCCCCTGACAGATTAAGCCCCCGCTCCCCAATCTGACAAAATGTCAGTAAGACTTAATATAATCCAGAAATTTACTCAATCATTATGGAAGAGATGGTATTATATTTTAAATATTGTAATTCATTACATTATACTAGTGCATTTATTCCATACAACACTATGGCATTATTCTGTCTCAATTAGGGCTGCTCGATTATGGCAAAAATGATAATCACGATTATTTTCACTGAAATTGAGATCTCGATTATTTGACGATATTTATTTACCCTTACGACCTACTATAGAACCAAGTCCGCCAGAGCTTATATTATTTCTTTACATGTTGTAGTGCCATTTGTGGGAGCATTTCAAGTTGCTATACAACTGTTATAGCCCATATTTTAATAATATGTATGCATTAAGTCCATAGTAACTACGTTAATTGCAAAAAAGTGCAATAAACTACAAAAAAATTGAAAATCATTTTTGTTTGTTTTTTTACATATATTTCTACTTGGAGAAATTTAAGAGGTTTATCCCTCAAAACTTTAAATACAAAAAAGTTGCAAAAAATAGTTTACAACAACAGGAAATTTATTTTGAGTGTCTTCATAGTTTTATTTTGGAGATACACCAATTTTTATATACTGCAGGAAAAACGAAAAAACAATCCTATGATGCAAATTTGCAAAGAAAACAGCATGTGCATCAAAATAAACTATTTCCAGCAGTGCAATTCGAGTTCTAAGCATCCCAGAAACTATTCAGAAAAGTCAAACATGACTTATAAAAACACCAGTATAGGCTTTTAAGGCCTACAAGTAAAAAAACTACATTTTCCGCGAAAATGACGTCACTTCCGGTTTCGGGCAGGAAATGGCGGACATGCGATAGTTCGCGCTGACGTCTGTTTCACTGTGGGAAGTGTTACGAACAGCTGATCGGATCGGCAAAGCGTGTTTCTGGAATATTATGTTTTTGTTCCTGCAAGCGCTTTTTATGCAATTTTTGCAAAGCTTTATGTGGAAGGAAACCGTGACCGAGGACAAGCTGATGTCATAAGATGTAAGTACAATTCCTCTGGTTTCATATGCAAAAAAAATTTATTGCGCTAGCTTACACGGTTCAGGTTCTTTAGGGATTTAAAAATAGTTACACAAAACAGAGCGTGCAGCTCTGACCGGCTTTAAAGGGTTAACAATAACAACGTATTGAATAATGACCTTAAAAAATAATATAAAATAGTGTGCAACACCACTGAAGTTTTTTTTACCTCTCTTTTCAACCAACGGCAGTCACTCTCCTCTCCAAATAACTTCTGCTTAGCTTTCCGAGCTTCCCTTGGGTCCTCTTAATCAGCGGTCTCCACCCTTTTTTGCGCCACGGACTGGTTTATGCCCGACAATATTTTCACGGACCGGCCTTTAACGTGTCGCGGATAAATGAGGGAGGGGCTAATAATCCGCACAGTCATTTTTAATGATCGTTGAAAGCCCAGATCGTAATCGTGATTAAAATTTGATTAATTGAGCAGCCCTAGTCTCAATATACCCTCCTTTATCTTCACATAGTAGTTGCTGGAGGGGAGATATGATTGTTACAGTTTGTTTAACTTCAAATGGTAAATGACCTGTATTTGTAGCGCTTTTACTAGTTCCCCCTAGGGACCCCTAAGCGCTTTACACACACATTCACACACTGGTGGAGGCAGCTACAGTTGTAGCCACAGCTGCCCTGTGGCAGACTGACAAATAGCTCATTATTTATTTTGGACTTTGTTGAATTGTATGTTTAAACGACTAGGACACATGACACAAGGCTTTTTTTTTCTACTTATCTAGCAGATACTTGTTTATGCAGATAAGGACTTTCAATGAATTTTTTTGACAGTTCAACCTCCTAAGACCCGAACTCTTTCACGGCATGCATTTTTAATTTCTCTTTGATATTTGGGCATATTGGGACCCGATGAATGTAAAAACAAAGAATTACCAGATTTTTTTTTTTTACCTTATTTTTGTTTTTAAGAAAGATAAGAGCCACATATGAGGATATTTTTTTAAAATTTTGATAGAACAGTAGCAGTATAATGTCCTCGTAAGTGGATATCAGGCCCATGTAGAGCAAAATTGAGTATTTTGGTCTATCCATCCATCCATTCACTTCCACTTTTCAGGGTCACGGTGGGCGCTGGAGCCTATCCCAGCTGTCATAGGGCGAAAGGCGGGGTACACCCTGGACTAGGGATGAGTATCGTTTAGGTTTTATCCGATACCAGTACCAAACCGGTACTTTTGAAACGGTGCCGGTGCTTAAACGGTGCTCAAACCGGTGCTTAAAGAATGGAGAACACAAAATTGGTCCAAAAACCTCTCATGTTCAGCTGTTTTTTTGTAAAAAGATAGCAATGTTAGCCTTTTCTGCAGCTATGGGGCATATATGGTATTGCTCTTGGCTGGAAGCAGTGCTTAAACAATGGAAAAAACACAAACTTTGTCCAAAAACCTCTCATGTTTAACTGTTTTCCACTTTTTCTTTGGTCATTTT